TAGTGTCCTGGATCATCACTGTCCTTGGACCCTCCTGCATCGCCAACATATCACCAAATCTCAGGAAGGCCCATATTGAGAGAGGAACCCACCCCCCACTGACGGACGGGCTGTAGACGGGAAACGAGACTGTAGATCCAGGACTGAGGCTGTAGATCAAGGACTGAGGCTGTAGACCCAGGACTGAGGCTGTAGATCCAGGACTGAGGCTGTAGAGCCAGGACTGAGGCTGTAGATCCAGGACTGAGGCTGTAGATCCAGGACTGACGCTGTAGATCTAGGACTAAGACTGTAGATCCAGGACTGAGGCTGTAGATCCAGGACTGAGGCTGTAGATCTAGGACTGAGGCTGTAAACCCAGGACTGAGACTGTAGATCTAGGACTGAGGCTGTAAACCCAGGACTGAGGCTGTAGACCCAGGACTGAGGCTGTAGACCCAGGACTGAGGCTGTAGATCCAGGACTGAGGCTGTAGACCCAGGACTGAGGCTGTACTACCAGCTCACTACCTTACTCCTGTGTTCACCGACATTTTCAACACCTCTCTGCAGTCCTGCCATGTCCCGGCCTGCTTCAAATCTTCCATCATTGTCCCCGTCCCGAAGAAGCCCAGGATCACAGGACTCAACGACTACAGACCTGTAGCACTTACGTCTGTCGTCATGAAGTCATTTGAACGCCTGGTCCTCTCCCATCTCAAGTCCCTCACCTCCCCCCTCCTGGACCCCCTGCAGTTTGCCTACAGAGCCAACAGATCTGTAGACGACGCCATTAACCTGGCCCTCCACCACATCCTACAGCACCTGGACTCCCGGGGACCTACGCCAGGGTCCTGTTCGTGGACTTCAGCTCTGCCTTCAACACAATCCTGCCATCCCTGCTCCAGGACAAGCTCTCCCAGCTCAACGTGCCCGATTCCACCTGCAGGTGGATCACTGACTTCCTGACGGACAGGAAGCAGCGAGTGCGTCTGGGGAAGAATGTCTCGGACTCTCGGATTATAAATACAGGAGCCCCACAGGACTGTGTTCTTTCTCCCCTGCTCTTCTCCCTGTACACCAACCACTGCACCTCCAGCCACGACTCCGTGAAGCTGATCAAGTTCGCGGACGACACCACCCTCATTGGACTCATCTCCAACAACGATGAGTCCGCCTACAGGAGGGAGGTGGACCGGCTGGTGTCCTGGTGCAGTGGTAACAACCTGGAGCTGAACGCCCAGAAGACAGTGGCGATGATTGTGGACTTCAGGAAGAGCACTGTCCCCCCGCCCCCACCCTCCGTGATGGACTCCCCCATCACCTCTGTGGAGTCCTTCCGTTTCCTGGGCACCACCATCACCCAGGACCTCAAGTGGGAGCCGACCATCAGCTCCCTCATCAAGAAGGCCCAGCAGAGGATGTACTTCCTGCGGCAGCTCAGGAAAGCCAAACTGCCTGCACAGATGTTGGTGCAGTTCTACACGGCCATCATCGAGTCCATCCTCACCTCCTCCATCACCGTGTGGTTCGCTGGAGCCACAGTCAGGGACAAACAGAGACTACAGCGCATTGTGCGCTCTGCAGAGGAAGTGATCGGCCGCAGCCGTCCATCGCTGCAGGACCTGTACGTCGCCCGAGCTCGAGGCCGGGCTGGTCGTATCACAGCCGACCCCTCTCACCCTGCACATGGACTATTCCAACCACTCCCCTCAGGCAGGAGACTGCGGTCCATCAGGACTAGAACCTCCCGCCACAAGAACAGTTTCTTCCCCTCTGCTGTTGGACTCTTGAACACTTCTTAACCTGTCCCCCCGCCCTTTATAAAGTCACTTTACTGCCCATCATACGTCATTTTACTTCACTGTACTACTGTCACCTTACATTGTGTGCACCATGTGCACCATGTGCACTTGTATAATGTAAATAGTAACTGTAACTCTATTTTAAATTTAAATTTATTCCTTAGAAGTGTTTTTTATTCTTTATTTTTATTATCTCTTTCTGACTGTTGCACTGAGCCAAAGCAATTTCCAAGTCTGTGACTTCCTGTTACTTACGTGGCAATAAAAATGATTCTGATTCTAAAGTTAGAAAGTTTCTTCTTCATTTTCATGTTAAACCACCATTTTAAACCACTGCTACCATCTTAATACTTATTATTAGCCTAAACTCACTGTATATTTTATTAATTACTTTTCAGCAACAACCGATGGACTTTGTGTAAAATAGAGAAGAAAAGGCCGACATTGCTCGGTCCCACCCCAGGCCTCAGTCCCACACACTTAAGCCTGGTTCACACGGCAGGATATTTAGGCCGATTTAGACCCGATTTACCCCTTACGACAATCTTAAGAAACGCTCCGATTTCCGTAACAAAATCTTACAGATTATCCTGCCGTGTGTGGTGTGTTAAGACTGCACTCGTCGCTCGGAAGGACAACGGGACTGCTCCCGATCTCAAATCGGGGATATCCAACATGTTGGATTGTTTTGGCCCGATTTCTTGTCGTGTGTGGTGTCTTCCGAGGACAAGCGAGCGCGTTGCCATGACTACGGCCGGCGTGTAGCCAATAAGAAGACGAGGTGACAAGCCGGTTAGGAAACACCGGAAAAAAAACAAAACACAGCAGCATGGCTTTGACCATTGCCTTTTCTTTGGATTACGTGTCTTCTCTGTTAACAACAAACTGCACACTATCGCCACTGCATCCTCTTCGTCCGCCATGACTGTTTACTCTGAAGTCACGCTTGATCTCGAGAGATTTTGTGAGATTTCCGTCTGACCTGGGAATGCTCGGGGGGGGGTGTCGGTTCGTGTGTGATGTTTGTGGCTTGCGTGATCTTGCCGTGTGGCTACGCACCACACACTGCACGACCAAAGTGGTTAGACGCAGGATTTTTAATCTCCCCGTGTGGGGTCTAACACGGAGAAAAATCGGCCGACAATTTTAAAATCGTCTCGTGTGAACCAAGCTTTAGACCAGAGTCACTGATGTAATTATACTTGTGTCACACTGAAAGTCTGGCGCGTCACTGACAAATGAATCATCTCAGAGCGATGCCTCCATTTACTAGAATTAGAGTCACTTAAGAGGAGTTGACAATCATGAGGGAGGTTTCATTTTGGCTTAACAAGATCATTGGCAAATTACATATAATTAATGTGGAAAAAAAGATGATAAGTTTTTTAGGGCAAGGTCAGAGATACGTAACAATGACAGCTTATTGTCGCTGGGACTTCGCCAGATGCTCAACCACAGACAATAATGAAACTAGATCATGTCTGAATGATTTTCCAGCGTTGGGTGATGTAAGGTAATGTAAATGTCAGTGTCAACTTTATCTGTATAGCACATTTACAACTACACTTGCTGCCCAAAGTGCTTCACAGGTACAAAAGATTAAAACAAAACAAAAAAAGGCATAATTTACGGACACATACATGCAACCAAAAGTCAAATAATGATCCCAGGACTCTTAGTCTGCAAAATAAAAAAAAGACACCTGTTGTGGGTGTTCTATTGGATTTGTTCATCAACATTTTACTTTGGTGCACATCATCATAGCATTGCTTAAATGCAAGGGTAATTTTAGGTACCGAGCTTTATTATTGTGGACCACTTAGACGCCTGCCCTGCGTCTATGGTATTCAAGGGGAGGATATGGTCCTTTCTAGCGGGTTCCTTTGGTCCTGCCCTGTCTGATGATGTCAGTCTGGATGAACTAAAGTGGCCCTCTTACTAAAAAGTTTTGGTACACCATGCTCTAGACCAGGTATGTCAAAGTCAAACTACATAGAGGGGCCAAAAAAACAAATTGCTGTGGCGTAGGGCCGGATGGTTCAATGTTTATTAAATCATTGCCTGCCAGCCTATTTCGAACAGGCTACTCATATTTCCAGCAGTTCTGATGATTTTTATTGATTTTTCAAGACCCACAGAATTTTGTGTTACTATGACTATCTGCAAATCCGAAACCAGATTCTGAAAGAATAGACTGTCTACTTTCTTTCAGCAAAATCAATTTTCGTTTATAGCCCTGTAATCCCAGTTGAGTAGAGGAAGTTTTACTGAAAACACCAAAAAGTTGAGAAAAAAAAGGTCCCAACAAGTGCATCTAGCTTGTTTTTCAAACCATTCAGAGTGCGCTGCTGCACCTGCTGGCTCTGTTTCAATATGCTCTCAAGCTGATATCCCCATACATATTAGATATAATAGACATATGTGAGAACATGAAAATTAGCGGAGAACGCCAATTGATGTAATAGTGCGTTATTGGCAGGGAACGGGCCAGAATTAATTTGCGGGCCGGATTTGGCCCGCGGGCCTTGACTTTGACACTGTGCTTCTAGACCTCTTAATTACTCAGGCGATTGATTGTTCGTTTCTAGTACGATGTCTCCTTTTATACTATTTAAAGCTTGCGTTTTTCTACTTGTTCCAACACAGCTCGATTATGTAATTAAATTCTATGGTGGTTTGAGAGACCGACCTCTGTGAGCTTATCGCAGTCGTCTGTTGAGTCGCAGTCTTTCCTTGTGGTGTTGTTCAAACTTGGTCTCTGTGGCATTATTGCCTTTTTTGCTCGGCCACCTGGAGCTGTCATTGCTATGCTTTGGCGCGCTTTGGTTTTCTTCGAGTGCCCTTCAGAGTTTTGTGATCCCACACAATTCGGCTTTCGTCTCATCCATGGTTTGCGTTTTCTTGCCCTTTTTGACGTCTGCAGATGGCTCCAAACAGAACCTGCTGGATTTTCGGGCCCGAGCTTTGGACCGGAGGCTCTTATTATCATCACTGCTTCTCAATTTATCCAGAATTTCTCCATTATTTCATTCTTTTGCATCGGGAACTCTCTCTTCAACACGTGTCCATCTTAATCCAAATGGTTGAGGCCTTTGCGTCTGCCTATTCTGATTTGGTGTTTTGGTTCTTCTTTGTTGCCGGGCTCAACTTCCACTTAGCTGCACTTTTCTTCCGCTTTATGTTTCTTCGCTCAATTCATCCGTCCTTTTCACTTTTCTCACTTGGCGTTGTCCAGAATTGAGGCCGGCGTCCTGTCCTTCAGGCTCGCAGCGAAATTCGATCCTCGAGGGCAAACAACCACATTCTGGGATCTATTTCTGTCAAAGGAACTCGCTAGATCATGGCCTCGCAGTCCGTGACTTTGGTGGGCCGCGATCTTGTCTGGAGTCCTGTTGTCTGTTTTTCATCAGAAAAAAGGTTGACATGAGCAGTTGTAGAAAAAAAAATTAGCAGTAGTTTGACAAGAGGCGGTGGTTTCTAAAGGGCAATTGGTCGACAGTCGCTTCCAGGTTTAGTTTCCAAGGCACCAAGCGGACATTGTCTCTCAGGACGGACTTCACCTTCGAGGTCAAGTTTTAAGGACGGACTTGTCTGGGTTCCATGTTCTCTGCAGACTCTGAGGAACTGCTCTGGACTGTGGATATGTCTGGGTCCATGTCTGCAGATCTGAGGGAGCTGGTCTGGTACAAGGGTACGCTGTCGCTGCTGCTGGCCTGAACAGTTTTTGGCGGGGCTCATGACGATCTCGGTGAACTGGCCTCTTGGACTTGAAAGGACTGGGAAATAAGCGGGGCCAAGACACACAGGTTCTGCAGGTTTCATCTGGGTCCTTCGGCTCGGCGCTCCGGGTCTGTTGGCGCGGCGTTCTGGTTCAGGGAGGAGATCTTGGGACGCTGGAGTCTGGAACCACAGATAAGGAAACACCGTGACACACTGCATTCAGAGAGGGTTCTGGGGCTGATGGAGCAGGTGTGTGGGGCATGAAGGGGAAAACAGTTAGATTTCTTTGTGTTTGTCGTGATACTATAGAAGTGGTAGATGTGCAGGTGTGTGGAGGAGACTCACTGGTTGGGACGGACTGTTTTGGACGGACTGGTATGAGGCGATGCTAAGCTCAACGCCTCCTGAAAAACAAGGAGAAATCAGACTCGGACAGACTGACCGAGGCATATGTTTGGACATGCCAGTGTGATGTACACTCCTGATACTAGAGTGGGGGGAACTAAACACAACTGCAGATCTGTCATAATTGTGTTTTTCTAAAGTTTGTAAAGGTCCACACACACCTGACAGTAGTATTAGCAGCAGTGTAGTAGCAGTAGTAGTATCCAGCACCAGCAGTTAGTAATTGTAGTAGCAGCCAGCAGTAGTAGTAGTAGCAGCAGTGCAGTAGTAGTCAGGGTAGCAGCTGTAGCGGCAGTAGTAGTATTAGCCAGCTGTCGTAGTAGCGTAGTGAGTATCAGCACCAGCATGTAGTATAGTAGTAGCAGCAGCAGCAGCAGTAGCAGTAGTTAGTAGTTTTGCAGCCGTCGACCGTAGCAGTAGTAGTATCAGGCACCTAGCAGTAGTAATATAGTAGCCAGCGCAGTAGTTAGTAGTCTGCAGCAGTAGCAGTAGTAGTAGTGAGTAGCAGTAGCAGAAGTAGCAAACAAGTAGTGGTAGTAGTAAGTTAGTTAGTTGCAGTGGGAGACAGTAGAGTGTGATAGATTATTTTAATCCTCTCTGAGCTGGTTTCTCTGTCTCTGACCCTGAGCACTGCCCCTGTACCTTAGCTGGGCTGTCCTCCTCTGGGGGCTCGAGTCTCTGGACTGGCGGTCCCATAAGCCTGAAAAACACCACCCAAAGTCAAAGGGTTACTCACCAGGGCTCTCTCTTAATACAGAAAAGGAAGATGGCAACTGATTGGTTCAGCCCTTAATCTGGGGTTATGTCTGGATTTACAAAGAAAATTCCTAAGATAACAGCCGGATCACAGAGAAACTCAAGATTCTAGCCAAAATGGAGAGTGATTACACTTGGAAGTCAATAGGAGCTAGAGAGAAGAGCAAATTTCACCATGAGCACTCTCTATTGGTCTTCTCAGAACTAACGGGTTAGCATTGAGCTAGCTAGGTGTTAGCATTGTATCTGTATCCAAGATGGCACTATTCAAATCAATGGCTTGTGCCAAGTAGCACATCGGATATACATGGGGACTGAATGTTAGCGGAACTCCAGAATACCAAATATTATCATAGATCCATGCTTAAGGGTTACAGACTTTCTGTTGAACTATATGTTATTTATGGAAGTTACGTACCCAGCTGGAAACACAGGTAAATGGGCGGGGCTCGGAGGTTGTGATTGCAACGGCTGGGGGGGGTCTCTGAGTTGTGATTGACAGTGCTGGGGGCGGGTCTCTGTCTCCTCGTCTCTCGGTTATGTGGTTTTCCTGGGGCTCCTCTTCGCTCAGAGACAAAGCGCCAAAGCTGCAGAAAGAAACAATCTGAGAAAACACTGCCTCTGGCCACATGGAGGCGCCGTGGAGATGCTATCTACCTGAAGCTGGACGTACGATTCTTCAAACGCTCTGAGGACCAGGCTCCAGGGGCAGGGTCTGATCTGTGGAGGCTGAGCACAGAGACATGTGAGGAACCAGAGCACACGAGGGAACCCTCCCCGACAAATGTGAATGTGTTAGTGTCATCTCTAATCCTGAGCCAGACTGTGATTAATGAAACTGTTCAGTTTGACGCCGAGAAACAACTCAAAAACCAAAACAAAAAAACACAACTTGACCTCAGATGGGTATTTAAAGCTGGTCTGCGAACTTCAGACATAGTACTCGTATATCAAAATCCATGTCTCTAGGTCTGCTAAAACAGTTGCTTCTGTCACTAGTTCCACATCATGATTTGTGATGTCACTTCTTAGTTCAAACAGAGGACCACTTCACTCAGCCAATCAGCTCTCAACCCAATGAGCAGTTACTCTCTCTGACAGCTATGTGGGGTTTATACATGTGTAATTAATGAGACTCTAGTTACAGACCTCAGCTTTAACATGTGTTATTTATGAGGACTGTAGCATTAGTTTCACATATATAACATTACATCTCACCCGGCTCCAGCCTACAGCATTCACTTATTTCACCATAATTATTTGCCATTTGTCCACCTCAGACTGAACTACCGGTCCGGGGGTCGCAGTGTGTCAGAAAGGCCTTAATCCTTCATGATCCTCTTAATTTACAACAATTAACGTGTGGATCCGGGCTCGTGGGACCAGTGTAGCATCACAAACTGTAAACTATTCGCTGTTAGGCATGTGTTAGCATTGTTTAGCATGTGGCTAATGAGCGCCGTGACGTGACCGGTGTCTGCTGTTCTGCGCTGACGGAAAAAGAACCAGGGGCCACAGACGGGGGGTGAAGTTGGGTCAAATGCAACGGGGAATACGTACAGTGCGGCGCGGGTGGCTGAATCTCCGTGGAAGGTCAAGGGAAAGGCCCGGGTGAATTCATGCCGGAGGACTAAACCCTCTGAGACGGAGCCGAGGAGGGTGTGGATGGTAGAGAGCGGAGCTGCGCGGAGAGGCCCGCTGCGAGAGGCCCGAGACCAAGAGAGAGAACAGAGAGACCAGAGAGAGCCAGAGAGAGACCAAAGACAGACAGAGAGACCAAAGACAGACAGAGGGGGGGAGACCAGAGAGAACCAGAGAGGAGACCAAGAGAGACCAACGACAGACCAGAGGAGACCAAAGAGAGAGACAGAGAGACCCAGAGAGAGACCAGAGAGACCAAAGAGAGAGACCAGAGAGACCAAAGAGTAGAGACAGAGAGAGAGACCAGATAAAGATAAGATAATCTCAATATTTATCTCACATAGGAGAATTTTACATGTCACATTTGCATGGTATAGAGAACTCAGGATTGTGCAAAATCGGAGGAAATGTGCAAACTGTTACATTCAGGAATATATGTACAATAAAAGTGACTATGTGTCAATTGGAAAACAGTGTCATAGTAGTTCAGTAACAATGGAAGCCTTGGGTGAAGGGGGGGAACCTGGGTGCTGTGCGTGGCTGTGCCCGTGTGTGTGCTGTGCGACAGGCTGGAGGCTCGCCGCTGGACCCGGGCCGACCCCATAGGTGGGAGTGAGGCGGCGCAGCGTTCGGCGGGAAGAGAGGCGAGGGGACCGGAGGTAGCGAGCACACTGCGATCAAGTCAGAGGGATGCAGCGGGAGGCGGGGAGCTTAGGCTGCCATCGAAGCGGCCTCAGGCCTGGGCTTCCTGGTGGGTGTGAGCGGGAAGAGCTGGCCCTCTGCTCTCTGTTGCAGGTACGACGCTAGCGGCTGCGCGCGCGGAACCCCCCTGACCGCCATCATTTCATCAATTTTTATCGTTTATATTTTCGTTGTAATTATTTTTTAATTCTGTTTTTACATTACTATTTTGTATCCTTATGTATATTGTACTAAACATTATTATTAATTCATTTTAACGTCTGGTTTTGTTGGAAACGCCCAGCTCTTTTAATCCATAATATTTTATTCGGCCCTTTTCTGGCAGTGTCTACCTTTTTTCATGCCAATACCTCAAAACCCCCCATATCACAGAGAGACCAGAGAGGACCAAAGAGAGAGAGAGAGACCAGAGAGACAAAGAGAGAGACCAGAGAGAGACCAACGACAGGACCAAAGAGAGACTCCAGAGAGACCAAACGAGAGAGACAGAGAGAGACCAGAGGGAGAGAGAGACCAGAGAGAGGCAGAGAGAGGGACCAGAGGAGATCAGAGAGACCAGAGAGACCAAAGACAGACGAGGAGATATCAGAGAGGCTCAGAGGAAGAGAGACCAATAGAGAGACTAAGACTACCAAGAGAGGAGACTAGAGGAGAGCAGAGATAAGACAAAATAAACGTTATTTATCTCACAACGCAGATATGTATGTCCACATTTGGAATTGATATAGAATTCACTCATATTGTTGCATAAGAACAGAAATGTGCAAACAAGCATGATAAGGTTAAAAATAATTTAGTCCTGCAGACTGTATTTTACATTTATTTTACCAGAGGAGAACCTGTTGTTTGACCTTACTTTACAGCCGCCTCTCCGTTACCCAGTGGGTCTGTGAGCGCGGAATGAAAATGCAGTGCAGTTCTCCAGTTTCACCTTTCCCCCACTAATGTGTCGCTGTTTTTTTCCTCAACATCGAAAAAGCCCTGAGGTGAAAATCCACCAATCACAGTACGAGTTTATGTCCCGCCGGACCTGAACCGCCAATCAGAGCCCGTCTACTGCCGTCGACTAGGTAGAGGCAGCCAATAGGAGCCCGAGCCTGTGGAAATTGGTTTCGCTTCTTTGGGACGTCCTCACATGACCTAATTATTTTCAATCTTTGCCTCAACAGAACACTGCGTCAGTCAGTGTCGTCACAGGGTTTAATGTAAAGAATTGACATCACTTATTTACAATTAAGAAGGAAAATGTGTCATTCTGTTCTATGTATTTATTTATATTTATGTGACCAGAGACCAGAGAGTGGACAGTAGCAGAGAGACAGAGGAGAGACAGAGCCAGAGAGCCAGAGAGAGACAGAGAGAGAGACCGAGAGAAAAAGAGCAGAGGACCAGAGAGAGACCCGAGAGAGACCAGAGAGAGACCAAGGAAAGGCCAGAGAGAGAACCAGCGAGAGACAGAGCCAGAGGAGATCCAGAGAGAGACCAGAGAGTGACAGAGCAGAGACCCGAGAGAGTCCAGAGAGAGACAGAGCAGAGACAGAGAGAGACCAGAGAGGACCAGAGAGAGACCAGAGAGAGACAGGAGCAGAGAGACCAGAGAGAAGTGGATATGAGTCAGTGCAGCTGTGCAGACTCTGATAGCCGAAGCTGCCTGGCAAGCAGTCGGCTGAGCAAAAAAAACGATGATTCATAGGGTATCTGGTAAAAGCTCACGTCTGTACTTCAAAGCTGATGATTTACAGTTATTTAAAACATAAACAGAGAAGCGACAGACACAGAGCGAACCACGGAGCGCGGGGTAGAGCCTAGGGGTGTGACGATTCGATTATCGTTATGCATTTGCAGGGCGTATCGATTTCGATTTTGAAAGTATCAATACTTAATATATGGCTACATTACGCATCTCCATTCCATTTATCATGAAATAAGTGTTTTGTTCTTTTTATTTTATGCCATAAATTGGCATAATGTCTGACCAATATATCGATAATTCCTCATATAGTAATACAATCGTTATGTGATATTATTGTTATCGTGAGCTTGTATCGTGGTATCGTATCCCATGAGTTACCCTTAGTTCCCACCCCTGGTAGAAGCCTACGCGAGTCAGTGCCAGACTGGTCGCAGGGGGCAGCCCACTGCCCTCTCAGGACCGGTCTGAGACCCGTCTCTGAGTCTGTTACACATTTGGATAATTAAACACTCAAAGCTAAGGTCAAGGTGCGAAACGCCTGAATTTTTAAATTACATTGAAAATCAACAAGGAGTCGGCGGAGTTTGTGATGTCATCTTGTCGCCTAAAACAGATCTGTTGGATTATGACGAGGTCCTTATGGAACAGTTTGGGTTATGACATAGGCGGAGCAGAGAGCCGAAAGCAAAGTCCCTGAAGACAACTCAGGTGCCAATGTAGACCAGGAGGTTGCCATGGAGCTGAGGAGTCTGTGAAGCAAGCAAGTACCGCTTATTTATATAGCACATTTTACAGACGGTCACGCAAGCGCTTTACAATGTACAGAGTTCGATATTTTGCCATTCTTTTTTTATCTCGACACAGGTGATGTTTATAGTGGTAGGGGGAACCGCAGCACCCGGCGGAAACCTACACAGATACCCAGAGAAAATGTAAATCCATCAGTAACTACCATGAATTGCCCTCCTCACTACCTCCGTCTCTATTTGCTTGAAAAGCTTGATATTGCTACCCACTCCTCCACTGTGTCTGAAGTGCCATTGCAACATCACTCGTACAGATCAAAGTCCTCACACACACAATGTAGCTTATGCGGAAATTACGTACCGACCCCCCCGCTTATAAACAACAGTACTTATGAGACTAAAGTTAGACGGTGTGTTTGTAAAGCCTAAAAAACCGCAGTTTGAACGTCTGAGCGTCTGTCCTTGAGTGTTCTATATCCTGTGTATAATGAACTGAGGGTGTACGCGCAGTCTGTTGGGGCAGTGTGATGAGGAGCTACTAATGCACTAGAACAATAAAAACCTCGCTCTAACGAGGGTTGCTGTCGTGTTAATCATGTGAAGGCCTAAATAACGCGGATACGGTTGTTACGTATGTACGAGTTTTGATATGTTGACTAGGTATAACTCAATGGTTATTAGAGATGAGAATTATAAAATAGGTTTAAGTGTGTTTAAGATTACGACACAGAAGGGATGTCTTCTCTATTATGCAATTGAGATAGTGCGTACTTAGTCAGCCTTACATTTTGAAACCCTCTCTCGGTGAAAGAAGATTACACATCAATAGCGATACACCTCGAGACTGTTTATCCTGTCATTTATTTGTTTTTTTGAAAATACGTCTGAAAATTGATAGAGATAGAGTGGACCTGTGAAGATGCTAGAACCAAGCAATGTGAGGAAGTTGGGGCCTTTTTAGTGCGTTCTAGAAGCTGAGGCGTAACAGTCGAGCCATTCACAAAAAATCGTGATCTTCTTTCAGTTACATTTTCTTAGCATGAAATTGCTTTAGTGTTTTTTTATTGTTCTGAAACCTGTGGCTGTAAAAGAAAGAAACACGACCACATCAAAATGCAATGTCCAAGTACCATTTTATTTCCGGATTTTCATGTTGAACCTAAGATAAATGGAGAAATATCCATCTGATGATGCCTGGAAAGAATGGGATGTAATTTTGGCTCCTTTTGCATTTGTGCTGAAGATGTTTTGAAAGAGCTTGTAGCTGCACTTTTAGAATTTTTCGTTCATATAAATCAACAACAGCAACAAAAAAAACCATGTGTTTTCAGCGGACTCATTTTGAGATTACTCCATAGATTTTCGTTCACAAACTGTCTAATCTGACCCATAGCCTTTCCATAAAGTTAAGGTCAAATTCTTGTGTTAATGATGAATATATTTGTCATTTTATTTTTCATTTGCTGCTGATAAATTCAAAACTTACCTTCGCTTCCATCTCCGGACGGTACAAGAATACTATATACTTACTGTGCTTATTGCCCATGACTTGTTCCACTGTAATAAATGGCCTGCATTTAACTCATTGACTGCCAGCCGTTTTTAATGATTTAACCTGATTCTCAAGACCCACAGAATATCATTTACAAAGATTAGTGAAATATAAAACCGATTCTGAAAGACTTGATTTGTCTTCTTTGATCAGCAAAAATAAGATTTGTTTCTAGCTTCTATGTATTGTCCTGTAATCCCCAGTTGAATATGTGGTCTAAGGACAAATACGCCAAATGGCAGTCAATGGTTAAAATCTCAGCGTTTATTAGGGTTTATTTGGTTTAGTTTTGGTGCCATATGTTTGCCGGCGTACGAGAGTTTGTCCGTTGGGGCGTGTATCGCTTGCGTTCGACCCTTCTGTGTGCGGCTTTCTTTCTCCTTGTCTTTGCGATCCTGTATGTCTTGTTTGCGCTGGGATTTTGGCCAGGTTTGTCCTTCTCTCGCTGCATCTTGTCGATTCCTTCTTGTCTTCTGGCGTTCGTCCCGAGCGCCTTGGTCCCTACTTTTGCTTCTGTCGGCTCAGACTTCCTCCACGTTTGTTGTTCTTGTAACAAAGCTGCAGCGGGGCCGGTCAAGGGTAACCAATGACCACAAAGAAGTCGCCCAAAATCTGACTCAGCTTTCTCGACCCATTCTTGTCATTGAAAGGTTTTGCTATTGTGGTTTTCCTTAAAGATGCGGTCAGTGAATTTTTCGTTTATCCCACTCACCCTCTTCCTTCGTTTCTCACGAGTGCGACGGAAGTTATCGGATTAGTTTTCTTAAAACTTAAAAAGGCCCCCCCCCCTCCCCCCCCCCCCTCTGCCACCCCTTGCTCTTTCCTCCTGCCTTTGTCCGCCTCTTTCTTCCCTTTAAGCAGAAAACTGCCTATTTAACTGTTGCAGCCGCACTGTCCCTCGTTCGTGACAGAAGATACAGAATGATGCTGGATGTTGGGTTTATGTGGAGAGGTGGAGGGAGGGGAGGGGCGGAGTGGTTTCCAGTTAGCTTCCGGACTAAGCTAAAAGCAACATCGCTACACTGCCATCCGCTTTTACATTGGAGACGTTCGATCATTCCAAAATAAAAATCTACACTCAACGGCTAAGACTTTGTCAGGTACACCTTGCTTAATACCAGTGGACCCCCTTTTGCCTTAAAAGGCACTGTCTTAATCCTTCGCGGAAAGAGTTCTAACAATGGATACTGGCCGGTGTGGGTCTCTGCTGCTGTAGCCCCTACTCTCTGCTCACGGTGTGAGAGCATGTTGTGTGTTTGCAGAGAGGCTCTTGCCGGCCTGGGTTGTAACAAGGGTTGTTTGCAGTTACTGTTGCCTCAGCTCCAGTCAGCGCGGGACCCTCTTGCTTCGAAAAGGCGATTTCCACCAAACTACCGCTCACTGGATAGGTTCTCTCCTTTTCGGACCCGTCTCGTAACTCCCTACAGCTGTTGTGTTGCTTGAAATTGCTCGTTAGATCAGAAGTCTCTGAAGATAACATCCAGCCGTGCGGCACAAAGAGAACGTGGCCGCTCATTTAGTCACTTCAATCAACCTTTCACAGTTGTGCCATTCTGATAGTTCGTTTGACATGTCTAACAGCCCAAACTGCCTGCGAGTTTCTGCCATGTGATTGGCTGATGGTGCGAATTTGGAGTCTGGATCGGTGTGCCTGATAAAGTGGCGCAAGTGAGTGTATAATAACAATAGCTAAGTCCACGCGTGCCTTCCACTGAATCAGAGAAACTCCAGTTGTCATACCACACCAAAAGTAGGGACAATGGTATGAGAAATCCATCAAAAGTCCGGTAAATTCTGGGACTATAAGCCGCGGCGTTTTCTGCATTTAGAAGATGCGGCTGTATAGTGAGTGCGGCTTGTGTGAGGGTGCGGCTTATAGTGAGGTGCGGCTTATAGTGAGGTGCGTGCTCTATAGTGAGGGCGGACTGTATATGTGAAGTGCGGCTTATAGTGAAGTGCGGCTTATAGTGTGGTGCACGGCTTAAGTTTTTCAGTGGCAGTTGAAAACCACATGAGTAGAGAGCGCAGAGGTCCGTATTGAATTGTAGAATAAAATACAGTTACACAGTCGCCTCACTTATATTTAATTTGTGGACATATGTGTGTACTAAATCGTTTTGTGTTGGTTCTTTGTACAAACATGAAAATAAAACCTTATATTTCTGCTTCACCACTGAAAGATTAGAAGCCAACAGGTTGTTCTATCATTATCTGCGTTTTCATTATGCATGTCATTTTGTTGGACCCTGTTGTTACAATCTTTAGATCAACTCTTTCCAGATCTAGAGAAATGTGAAAAAAGAACCGAAACTACAATCATTTCTAGCAAAAGAAAAATGTCCTGTCCAAAAGGATACACTTGATGCACAGCTGGGAATCGAGACTTGCACTGCTCGCCCCTCCTTCTTCTTCCTTCAGTGCGTAGGTTCAGGAAAACTCAGCCTCAAAAGGATTTACTTTTAATGATGACATGTAAAATGGTAATGTGTATTTTTACTGCCAATCTAGCCTTTGAGATCCGTATAGTCCCTCTCATTCCACCAACTACGTGAAGCCTTTGAGGTGACCATATGTGATGTTTGACAGAGGGTCCCAAACACCCGGGAAGTAAGTAATGTTTATTTATATAGCGCATTTGTACAGTCCAATGGTACAGAACCCAAGCACTTAACGCCATATGTTCGCAGAGTCAGACTATTGTTCCTTCGTTCCACACCACGGTGATGACAGAAGCGAGTCCAGAACACACTGGATCCATCGAAGCCTCAGACCAACACCATCCCTTCACTCTCTCATTTAAATTCAGACCTACTGGGTGGTGCTTTTCTGGTAGGGGAACCGGAGCACTTGGGCAGGGAACCTGCGGAGACCATGGGGAGAACATGCAAACTCATCAGGGTAACGCCCTCGTTCTGACCGGGTATAATACATTGGAACACTGCCTACATGTAGGCGATCTAAGTGGATCTATTCATTAATTATGGAGCGACTTTGACTACAGAGTAATCCGCTCTCTGGGCCATTTTCTAGTTCAATTCTGCCCTATGCAAACAGTTACACAATCATGGTGGAGTAAAATATTCGTGAAGTAAGGTCAACATTTGTTAATGGTAACGTGTGTTTCCCCATGGAGAAACTGTAGAACTCACAGGGTGGCTTAAGAGAACTCCCAGTGTCAAAGTCTAAGTAGGGTCAATAAAAAGTAGTTAAGGGCGAACAGTAAAACAATAAGTTGGACAGCATGGAAAACAATGCTAAAACTGAGGTATGTGTGTGGTGTGTGTACCAGGCAGCAATCCACACCCCACATGTTTGATGCAAGACACAGACTGTAAACAGGGTGCCAGGTTGCAGGAAGATATGCTCGTCTGTCGTTCCGTTGCGTACTGAGCAGGACGCGTTTCTGTTCTCGTTTTTGGACTTCGTTATAGGAAACTTCCTTTCCTGCTGTCACCACAAATGCTGTAGCCTGTTCTCGCGATGAGGCTGGCGATGGGCCTGCGACTCTCGGCTGCAACAAGTAAGTAGTGAGTGAGTGAGGATTTATTTATACAGCCGCATTCTTACAGACCACAAAGCGCTTTACAATGTTCAGAGAACTACTTAACTGTTGACGGAGCTATGGTTCTCTGAGAAGCCTTTAAACCCTCCAGGATTGGTGCGCATTGGGGGAGACTTCCTGTGCCTGGTTTTCTTGTTGTATAGATTGCTCTATGAAAAGAGTCACTTGTTTTGATTGCAGAGTCAGAGCAGTATACTTTGTTTGTTTGTTCAGGTACAACGCCTGGGGTTTTAGAATATCTATATTTCGAGAGCTGTCTTATCTCAACAGTTATATACAAAATTTGGAGTATATGAAGACAAAGAAAAAAATCGATACAAACGAAAATCATTTTCTCAAAAATGTATTGAAAGGACACAATATAGACAAATGCTACTAAACAAACTTTTTAGACTCCGATGAAAATGTTATGTTCTGGTCTTGGGGAGATAAATGGCGGGTAAAAATTTGCAAGATCCGTAACTATTATATTTTCTTTCAAAACTTCTCCTATAAAAGCCAAAGAAACACTGTTCTCCTGATTGCCTCTTCCTCAAGCTTGTTTGTGTCGCTATGAGGCTGTTGGTGCGTTCTGTTATCGACAGCTAGTAAATATGTTAAACAAGAAACCAAAGAAAAAAAAAAAAAAAAACATCTAATTTATATATATACGAATACATGTATTATACTCATATCTTTTACTGTATTTATTATTGTCTATTCTCATAAGATGCGAAGACTTCAAGTCTGTGTTGAGTGCCACTGTGTGTGTTAAACGCAACTTTACGGCGGCTGTGCCTGGCTCACGGGGCCATCGCTTGAAGATCCGTTTGGGGGACTGACTTTCATAACACACGTAGTTTTTCCCCGGCGTATGTAGCAGAGAAAAACCAAAGGCAGTTTCGTGAAAGGTGGAACGTGTAATAACGGAGATAAAATAAAGTAAGCGCGTTAAACGTTCACCGTTCGCGAGTGAATTGATTAGTTGTAAAAAACATGTGCCCCACATACGTTCCGGCGATGGCATCGTGCGCTTTTACAGGTTAAAGACGAGGAGTTTTTAATGTGCCGTACGTTTGGCGATGGGAGCCGTGGATGGATCTAAAGACCTCCCAATCTTTCACAGACGCGCATGTGATCTCTGGTGTGGCGCTGACTTTGACGTCTTTCAAACACTCATAAAGGTTTCACTGGCAGACTTCGTACTGTGTGCGGCTTTTCCCCAGTGTGGATTTCTCAAGTGACCTGTTGTAGGACAGGGAGATGCCTCGTGTCTGAACTTTTTCCGCACACTGGTCACAGGTGGGTAATGGCTTTTGCTCTGTGTGGTTTCTCAGTGACTTTGTGAGGCAGTGATTGCGAGCGAACTCTTCCCCCTGATCACATGTGTAGACGGCTTTTGCTG